CTTCAAGTTCTTTGTGAAATCTTCGGTCGTGCATCTATTGGATTCCGTTGGCATTGCATATGCTACTGCCACATCGTTGAGGATTTCTCCACTGTTGACATCAATGATATTGAGTGAATCCCAAGTAGCACGTGGGCCGAACCCATTCTCCACACTCGTCCATTCCTCCCATTCGACTAAGTAATAGTCGTCGCTTGGGAGTTCTGTGGAAAGTGTAGATGCCGAAGACGGACTATGGCCCCCCATGTCATCGTCATCGATGGTCGACGTCCGATCTTTCTTCTGACCGATGAAGATGTTGGGCGATATGTCCTTAGGATCATCATCCTTGTCCTCCTTCTTTTTCTTCTTCCTTTTGTCCTTGCTGGATCCCGCACCTTTACTCTCTCTCTCTTTCATCTTTTCTTTCTCGAGAGCTGCTTTCTTCTCAGCGATGGCTCTATCAGATAGAGATAACGCTTTCCATTCTTCTGGAGTATATTTTGATCTTGGTCTCGGTGATGATCTGAAGAACCTTCTTCCGTCTGATCCAACCTTATATGGATTCCCTTTCCTGTCCAATTTCACGGTTTCACCATCATCATTCAAGTAGATGATACCATCACTTGCTTTTCCCATGGACATGTGATCCATTGAAGGATCTCCAACTGGCGGGTGATCTTCCCTGCTGGTCGAAGGTGGTACCTTCGCCTTGGCAGTTTTGGACAATATTTTAGAATGACCGCCATCAGGTTTTGGATCATCATCATCACCGGGATCATCTCGTTCTTCATCATCTGCTTCCTGATCTCCAATGGCTTCTTCGTCGTCCTCATCTCTAATCTCCCTTTCCGCAAGCTCCTCAAAATCCATACCGGGCTCAGTTGGTTCATATTCTCCATAGTCAATCATTTGACTAGGATCTCCGACCTCTGGCTCTCCATCTCTCCTGTCACGGATCTTCATGCCTTCCGACGTGTTGTTGATCTTCTCGTATCCTTCCTTCAATGGGAATTCGATGGGAGCGAGGAATACCAGGGTCTCTGTGAGCTGTGGTGTGAGTAGCTTTCTGATAGGGCGATTGGCATCAAACGCAAGGCTTTGATGTGCAAAAGTTTCAAGACTCCACACTCTGTATTGTCTCGACCAGTTCATCCCGGGCTTGATCTCATATCCGGCGAAAATACCTGGGATTCCCTTGGGATCAAACTTGTGCTTTTGCTCAATCCTTCCTTGACTGCTCGGCATGAAGAAGACCTTTGCACCAAAGGGAATCTTCTCTCCATGGAACTCTTTCCCATGTAGCTTGTACCAAGGGCTCACTCCATCCTCTCCTTCCTCAATGTTCAAAAGATGGCTGACGCATTCTACTGCATAGCTCCAGAAACATGGTGGTAACCCCGCTTCCAAGAGACAAGTTGCGGTTGTCATCATAATGAACTGATTGTTCCTCTCCGCCAGAGAATTGTTTTGAGGATGATTCGGTAGAGAGTGATCGAATGGGATCTTCAGCTGTTTCATAGCCGTCTCAAACTCTGGGGCTTTGTCGGCATAAGCAATCTTGATCTTCTTCAATCCCTTGAAGTGGTTTATTGCATTGATCACGTCCTTGGTATACTTCTCTTTCGACGGATAGGCCCATATGACGCCTGTGTACCTGTCACGAATGACGAAGATCTCTCGATCAGTACTGATCCCTTGATCAAGGATGTTCCTTGTATCGACAAAATCAAAGGTAACCAGGTCTCCAAAAGCTTTGAGCTTTCTCTTGAACGCTCCCCGATGCGTCTTGAAGTGTTTCATCTTTGCTCTGATGCATGATTCACAGTAGGGATTCTTGTAACGATGTGTGAGTAGATGCTCGATTTTCCTGGCATCTGCTTTCAGAGTTCCTCTTCTCACCATTCTACTTGCACCGTCAACAACATCCACCTCGATGTCATCTGCATCATCATCGTCAGCTTCTGGTTCACTGTCTCCGGCGACATCCGATCCTACCTCATCTTCTTCTCCAGGAGATGCCTTGAACTTCTTATTCCTCTTTCGCCTTTTGACTTTTGGAGGTTCAATCACAGGAAGGTCGTCATTATCACACATGATTCCTTGAGGATCCACATCACAGTTGATGAAAGTCGATTGGTAATCGGCTTCATCTTCTCCTAGGGTGAACCTTGCGATCATCTCCGCCCTTGTATCGTCGGTGGGAGTACAGAAGTCACTGCCCTTGACAATATATGGGATGTTTCCCTCTACTTCTAACATTATTTTCTTGTATTTCGGGGAAATCATGTACGGGTTGCCGCAGGCTGGCCATATGAATGTGTATCCTTCCTCCATGCATTTCTTTCCAACAGACAGTACTGAAGGAGATTCATCTAGGACGAATGGGGAGTAGGTAGAGTCAAATTCGTCGAAATGAATGTCGGCGACCCCTTTTGTGGATGTCACTCCATTTGCGGTATAGAATGACATTGATTGGTCGCTTTCTCTCACTTCCAGACCTAGTTTCTTGGCTCTGCCTTTCGATATCAGATCATACCCACATCCTGTGTCCATGATGAACTTCGTTCTTGACCCTTTGGCTGGAATAGACAACGTCTTTGTGTCTGCATGATCATTCTTTCCCTCGCATACATGAGGAATGACTTTATGATGGAAAACTAGGCCGTCATCTTCATCAAAAGACATAGTGACCGATAGGTCACCCTTTGGTCCAACTGGTATTCGGACCCTCTTGATCTCAGTGTAGGGAACCATCAATATGCCTCTTGCCTCTGCGACCTTTTCTTCAAATCTGATTTGTTCTTTCCTCGTGTAGCAGGTGAGCTCTTTCTCATCATATCGTTTGATGTCCGGACGTAGAGGTTTCTTTTCTACTACCTTCCATTTGTCCCTGACTGAGTAGATCGCTTCGTTCAACATGATCTCACAAGTCTCTTCATCAAAGGATACTTTTGTACCTCCTTCTCTTGCCTTGGCGGATGCAGCAATCCCTTCATCTTCGGATTCGTCCATGAAGAGTTCACCGCCAATGGCCGGGGCTCCAGGCTTCGCCTTAGGTTTCGGTTTGGGTTTTGCCTTGGGCTTCGGCCTATCGTCTCCTGAGTCAGCTGGTGCAGATATCCCTTTCTTAGGAGAGGCTTTTGGGTCATGGTAGAACTTACAATCCTTCCCTTTGTCACAAGTTCCTCGAATCCACATCCAGCATACTGGCTTGTCATTCTTTCCGACAGAAGGTCCTCTGGATGGCGATCTGGGTTTCTTGTGACTGAATGGGCAATCTTTCCCCATAGTGCAGTTACCTTTCACGAAGAATTTGCACGGTATCTTCTTTTTGTCTGTACTCGGACTTCGGCTGCGATCCTTTCCATCACCTTTACCTTTTCCCTTTCCCTTTTTGTTCTTGTCTTCAGGATGCTTCTTGGGATTGGGTTTCGGCTTCACTGCAGCAGCATCTTCTGGGACAACCTGTTCTTGTTGCCCTTTTGGTTTCTTCTTCGGATCAGCTGG